ATAAAATTTTTGTCCATATATTTGTCCAGTTATATGGTATAATTTCATATCTAAAAGTTTTTGGTCCATTTCACTATCTGTAAAAATTAGCTCCAAAAATACTAACGAAATAAAAAAAAAAATTGTAAGAAGAAGAAAGAAGAAGAAAAGAGAGAGAGAAAGAGGTTAGATTGCAAATCTTCTCCAATATCTGGTCATTTTCAAAATCGTGGAAGCAGGTTATGATCAACAGATGAAATAATAAAAGAATGATATTGTGGTGGTAGAAGCAAAAAGTGTGAAAGATGAAAGTAGATGAATAAAATAAATGCAAGAGGGAGAGAGAAACTTTACAATTGAGTATACATTATGATATGAAAGTAAAAAAGAGAATATATATTAGATATAGTGAAAATCTATATAAAAGATTTAAAGGAAAGAACCTGACACTGAAGACGACTTTTTTTTACAGGAATACCTTATTCTGAAACACATAATACCAAACTACCCTCTTTTGAAAATAATATACGAATGTGCCCTAGGTTCAGATTTTGCTCGTCCACTGAAGTGGTGAGCAAATGAATGCATTTTTGGCAACGTTGGTGCTCGCCCACTCAGATGACGAGCACATGAAGAGTCTTTTTTTTTTGCTTTTTTTTATTTATACTATGTTTAATGAATTAAAATAATATTTTCAAATATTAAAAATGTATTATATTAATTTAATTATGATATTAATGTTAAATATTTATTTTCAGAACTGACTTAAGAAACAAAAACAATGGTCGTGGGAGAGGGAGAGGACGTGGGCGGCCACGATTGGTGCCACTGTCAACAAGCACTTCTACGGTGGACATTATCGATCAGAATGCCACGGAGAGGGAAAATAATGTGGAAGATGAAGCACGAAATGAAACAGTGGAATGCGGTAGCCAAGCGGGGGAGGAAGAAGGGAATGCAACTGATACAGAAACCCTAGGTCACCTAAGTACTGAAGAAGTCAAAACGGGGTGGAAGTTAGCCAAACGAATAAGCTCTGGGTTGATATCATCAATGAAAATCGCAATCCGGCGAATGGACTCACCGTGGAATTTGTTGCACCAAAGATTATTGATGGAGAAATGGAAATCCAAATTGAAGAAGAGGATGTTGAGAAGGAAGTGAAATTTTGGGAATCTGCACTCATCATGTATGTCTTGGGTGTAGACCTAAGCATGAATGCGGTGAAACAGTTTATGAGTAAAAGCTGGAACTTTGTGAAACTACCTGATATGTTCTATAATGAGGAAGGTTTCTTCATCCTTAGATTCCACACATTCCAAGACAAAGACTTAGTTCTGATGAAGGGGTCTTACTCAATTTGTAATAGACTAATGATGTTGCGTGAGTGGAAACCTGATTTCAGTATGAACAAGGATATGCTTAGAACAATCACGTTATGGGTGAAGCTACCCCAACTCCCTCTACATCTTTGGGGGGCACGTAGCCTTAGTAAAATAGGCAGTGCGATAGGAACATCGCTGGTGATAGATGAATGCACGGCAAACAAGCTCAGGGTATCCTATGCACGAATCCTGGTTGAAATTGGCATCACACAAGAGTTAAAGACAGATATTTTGATCAGAGATAAAAAGGGTGCGCGACTGAAACAACCGATTGAATATGAGTGGAAACCACTATACTGTCAACAATGCCATAAGGTCAGACATAATTGTGACAAGCCTTCTAAGCCTACTATAGAATGGAGGGTGGAAGTTAAAGAGCAGCCATAAAAGGAAAAGAAGCAAGCCAATGCTGATACAAGTGGAACAATAGGACAAGTGGAATCTAGTGAAGATATCCAATAGACTGAGAATGAGGTATGGACGATGATAACTAGCAACAGCAAAGGGAAAGGGAAAGGAACTGCCAATGAGGATGGGTTTATCCAATGCCAAAACAGATTTAGGCTGCTGGGGATTCTGAATAATCCTATGAGCAGCCAAAACACTAACCAATGTTAGTTTATTAGAGTGTGAGGGGCTTGAATAAAATAGTTAAGACTAAAGAGGTTAGCTTCTGCCTCCGTTTTCTTAACCCTATGATCTGTATTTTGCTTGAAACTCGAGTGAAGCATGATAAGGCTGACAAAATTAGATGCAAGTTGTAGTTTAAAGGTAGATTTATGGACAACTATACTAATCATGCAAATGGTAGAATCTGGATCTGGTGGAACAATGCTAAGACTGAGATCAAGAAAGTTACTAGCTCTGGGCAATTGATTCACTATGGTGTCTATGATATGAATGGGGTGTTCAAATTCTGGCTTACAGCAGTGTATGGTGCAAACAGGCTGGACCGTCGTAAGAGATTATGGAGTGATATTAAGCACATTCACCATACTCAACAGGGGTCGTGGTTCATAATTGGTGACTTTAACAATGTAGTACAAACAGCTGATAGAAGAGGGGGTTCCATGGTGCAGGAGAAAGAGTACAGAGAATTAACTGATATGATAAACGTATATAATCTCAGTGAAATGGATACTGTTAAAGAGTACTACACTTGGTCCAATCGGCAAGGTGACAATATCATCCACTCTAGAATAGATCATGGTTTGGCTAACACTAAGTGGTTTCAAAAATACATAAATATGTCTCTTAAGACCCTTACCCCTGGTATTTCTGACCATGCCTTGCTATTGCTATCTAGTCCTGAGGCTACTGTGCACAAAACCTCCCAATTCAAGTTCCTGAATTGTGTCACTGAGGTTGAGGGTTTTCATGAAGACATTTCCAGAAGCTGGAATGCCCCTATACATGGTAGTCATATGTTTGTGATGTGGAGGAAGCTGCTTATAACCCAAAATGATGTGAAGAAGCTTAGTAGTCCTTTGGTTAGAGCCACCTCTGCCCTTAAGAATGCTAGACAGAATTTACTAGATGAAATTCAGCTTAGGGATAACCTTTATAACACTGATGTGATTCAGCTAGTAAATACTAGATCAGCTGAGGTGGTCTATTGGAGTGAGATTGAGGAGCAGGTGCTTAGACAAAGATCTAAAATCAGCATTATTCCACCAGCAGTGACATTTATGAGTTGTGTACTGCTGCTGGTGACATCCTTAGCACGCCTGAGGATATTGAGAATGAGGTGATGTCATTCTATGGCAGCGTCATGGGGAGTTCTAATAATTACCTGGAGGGTATCAACTTGACTGTCATGAGAGATGGGCCTCACATTACTGGTGAATAGAGAGGTATGTTGGATTGTCCCATCACTGAAGTAGAAATAAATAGTGCTCTCAATGATATTGGTGACCTGAAAGCCCTTGGTGTTGATTGTTTTGGGGCCAAAATTTTCAAAGCTTCCTAGAGTATCATTAAAAAGAATACCACTATTGTTGTTATGGATTTCTTCAATAACTTCAAGATGTATCCTGTTGTTAATTGGACTCTTGTTTCTTTGGACCCTAAAGGAAATTGTGGTAATTGTGTGAAGGATTTCAGACCTATCTCCTACTGCACTACCCTTTACAAAATCATATCAAAAATATTGACTAGAAGACTGAGTATGGTCCTTACCAGTATTATTAACCAAAGCTAGGATGCTTTCATTCCTGGACAGAACATCCATGAGCATATTTTACTAGCTTACGAGTTAATCCAAGATTACAGCAGGAAGGGCGATACTCCTAGATGTCTGTTGCAGCTAGACATCCAAAAAGCCTATGATACCCTAGACTGGCATGCTCTAGATTGTATCCTCAAGGAATTTGATTTCCCTCACAAATTCACCAAATGGATTATGTTGGCGGTGTCAACAGTGTCTTATAAATTTAATGTTGGAGGCAGAATTACTAGAAGCATGAAGGCCAAGAGGGGCCTTAGACAAGGTGACCCTATTTCCCCCCTTATTTTTGTCTTAGCTATGGAGTACTTCCATAGACTAGTGCACCAGTTAAGAAAGATCTCTGATTATAACTTCCATGCTAAATGTGAAAAGCTGCAAATCATCAACATCAGTTTTGCGGATGATGTTCTCCTTTTCGCTCGTGGGGATGGCCAGTCTGTGAAGCTTCTTATGGCTCAACTACAAAAGTTTTCTCAGTCCATTGGTTTAGTGGCTAACCCTACGAAGTGTAAGGTGTACTTCGGGGGGTTGATAATGAGACCAAAACTGATATTTTGGCTTCTACTTCATTTATGGAAGGGGGATTACCTTTTCGTTACCTGGGGATTCCTCTCACCAGCAAAAGACTTCCTATGCACCATTATATGAGTTTAGTGGATAGAATTGTTGTCAGGATTCACCACTGGAGCTCTAAGTTATTGAGCTATGCATGTGGACTTTAGTTGATTAACAGTACCATCAGTGCTATAGCAGCCTACTGGATGAACTGCCTCTCTTTCCCCAAGCATGTGATTAAATTCATTAATACCATTTGCAGGACATTTTTATGGACAGGTAGTGAGTCAAAGTCGAGCAAATCCCTAATTGCGTGGAAGATGGTTTGTAAGCCTCAAGGGAAGGGCGAGCTGAACGTGTTAGATTTATCCGAGTGGAACACAGCCAATTTAGCTAAGTTGCTATGGAACCTCTGCAATAAGAAGGATTCCCTCAGGGTGAAATGGATTCACTCCTTCTATTTCAAAAATACCGATATTCTGTAGGTCCAGGAAAAACAGTGTATGTCATGGATTTTCAAAGCTATTCTTAGACATATAGTCACCATGATTGGCAAGGAAGATTGGAACAATATGAATGTGAAATACTTTGTGGGTAAAGTTTATCAGTTCCTCAAGAAGGACGAACCAGATGTTGGTTGGAAGCATATGTTATACAATACTATTGCTAGATCGAGAGAACTTTTTACTATGTGAATGGCATGGCACCGTAGACTTGCAACAAAGGTGCGACTCAAAAAGCTTGGTTTTATGACTGATGACAGTTGTAAATTCTGCAACAAGGAGGAAACAATTGACCATCTTTTATTCCAATGTCCACCTTTTAAAATCTGTTGACAGGAAATTCTGGTTTGGATGGGGGTTCAACATACCCCTTTTGATTGGCATGAAGAACTTAATTGGCTAATCACAAAGTGTAAAGGAAAAGGCTGGAGGAAGTGCCTCCTTTGTAGTTCCATATCGGTGACTATTTATGAAGTTTGGAAGTATCGTAACAACGTCGTCTTTGGAAATACTGTGAATACCATTGAGATTAGAGATCTAGTAATATATACCCTTGAAAATAGAGGGTGGGTGAATACTAGAATGAGACATCATATAGTTAACCTTCTTATAGATTAGTCGTGGGTTTTTTGGTTGTTTTGTCGGTGGGGGTGCCTTGTACCCTTGTATATTCTCTCTTCTTTTGTTTTTTATCAAGTCTCTTTATTCTTAAAAAAATATTAAATATTTATTATATATCATGTTTAATTATGATATTTAATTTAATTATAAATAATCTTTATAACAATATTATATATCATGTTATTATATTAATTTTATTATATAATATTATATTAAATGAAAAAAAAATGTGAATGATATAATAATTTAATTTTTCTTTCTGTCATGTATTAAAAAAGAATGATTAATGTTCGTCCAAGGAGTTGTAAAGTTTTTACAGAGTCTCGGTCATTGAATGGCCGAGTTCAAACGTAAATTTGTTTTATAAATAGACATATTGCGCATCAGAACAAACCATTCGTGTCTAGTGATATGTGTTTTAAAAGTGTCTGCCCGAGCTCTTGTTTTTTATGGACAAGAAAAAAAATTAGTGTTTACCTAGATCTGCTGTGGAATTTCAGAACCGTGGTTGCAATAATTAACGCGGGGTTTCGACAGTTGGACGGTCGTCACATGATAGTGAGAAAAATGAAGTATCGTTGTCCGTATATAACGCTGACTGCTGCCAGACCCGAGGGTACGTACATGTATTTCTTGGATCGTATAGAAAATGATGAAGATGTCCAATGCATGTTTTCAGCACATAGTGGTGAAGTTAGCAGAGGAGTCGCAGATCCACTTGTGTTGGTTGCTGTTGTTGGTTAGCGTCTATGTTAGTTCCCTGACTTTTATTTTTTAGTTTATGGTTGTAATTTTCTAGTATTGATGTAATTTAAAAGTTGTCTTGAATTTCAAATAAATGTTGGATCACATAGAAAACAAGTGCGAGCAAAATAAATAAAATTATCTAGACGATCAGTTTGACGGGCCGGCAACATTAGGACATTTTCTACGCATATGACATATTTCTTTACAAATCCCACACCTTCTCTTTTCTTTTTCAGTGTTTTCCATCTCAGTTCTAATTCTACTACTAGTTGGACGTCCCTTTTTATTTCTTCTCAAGGAATCATCCTGGCACAGAGTAAAACCTTCATATTTTGGCCAGTTCTCCTCGCGCAGTAGTCCCAGAAAGCTTTCTTTGTAGACTTTTAATACGTTAAGTACTATGAAGACCTATGGAATGTGAATTATGTAGTCTTGTCGTATGCTAGAACATGTTGCGATCACGTGGGAGCAAGGCAAGTGAAATGCTTGAAATTTTCCATAGTCACACCAACGATTCCTCAGGTCAACGCTAAAAGTACCCGTTGGACGACCATCATTTTGATTAATTTTTTCCTACACCATGAAACAGAATCTTTCGCGATCAAATTGCATGACATTGTATGTGTTAGCCTTGGCTACCTCATCAGTTATTCCCTTGTTGCAACCATCTGTGAAAACTTTCCATATAGCTAGCATTTTGGTCCATTTGTGTCCTCGTTTACCAAAGAGTGAACCCATTCGATAGTATGTAGACTGGACCAAAGCAATGATTGGAAGGTTTCTAGTTGCCTTTAGTATAGAGTTCATGGCCTCTGCCAAGTTAAATGTCATGTGTCCCCAACGTTACCCTCTGTCAAATGCTCTAGCCCACTTCTCCCTAGGTATGTTGTCTATCCAATTTGAAGCCTCAATGTTTGTTCTTCTAATTTCTCCACGATAATAGTTAAATGTAGCCTCCGTCAATGTGTAACCTGTAATAGAAATTGTGTGAAAAACATAGTAAAAGTATGATACAATAGTTGGGATAACTGAAATGTATTTTGTTACCCATGTTAACAAGTTTTTTGCGTAGATCCTTGTCCTTAATCTTGCGCATGAAGTTTTGAGCAATGTGTCTAATGTAGTAGACATGTGAAGATGGTGGGTGTTGCCATCCGTTTTCGGGATTTTTATATGCACTCTTTATCGATTCATGTCTATCATAGATTAGGCACAAATTAGGTTGTGGTGTCATGTGTAACCTCAGGTTCCATAGAAAAAAGCTCAATGCTTCCTTTGTTTCGCCTTCGACCAATACGAATACTATTGGGAAAAATTTTGTGTTTCCATCATGTGCCATCGCCATCAATTGAGTTCCTCTGTACTTTTCATACAACCAAGTTCTGTGTACTTGCACAATGGGCTTACAGTAGGCGAAACCAAGTATACACGGACGAAATGCCCAAAACAGACGATGGAAGATTCATTTTCCAGAGAGTCGGGAACCATCATTTGAAATTGCAGGTAGGTTTGAAAATCTATAATGGTTCCTGGAAGGTAGGTTTTCATTACTAGTATCCACTGTGGTAGGTCGTTGTAAGATGTTTCCCAATTTCCATAGAGCAACTCTATGGCCTTACACTTAGCAATCCATGTTTTCCTGTAAGATATTATGTACCTGTATTTTTCAAGAATATGGGTAATGACCACCTTCACCTTAAGTGAAGCGTCTCGGTTGATAAGTTCTCTGATGATATGGCTAATCATTTATGAATTGGGCTTCCTATGGTCTTATGTCATACATGTGGTAGTGCATGTGTGAGGCCTAGACAGCTCACCGACCACCCATTTTGAGTTCCTTTTTCTCAAGGAAGCTCTGCACTTAAAATTGAAGTCTTGTTTCTTACACTTAATTACATATTGTTCATTGTCAGATTGATAAACCCAATAGTCAACACGGTGTGTTATGTGTCAATGTTGCAGAGTGAAGACGAAAGCTTCTTTGTTTTCAAACTCCATCTCAATCTCTATTTCTTCACCTATATAGTTTGGTATGACACTTCCAAACACGGAGGTTGTCTTATCACTTTCCATACATATATTTTGCATATGTGCAGGTGGGCTGTAGAAACTTATTGGTTGTGCGTGAATAGGCTGCATAGACGCGATAACTATATCTTTATCGTCTTCGTCATCGCTATTACCAAAAATATCTTGCATCCTGACCTTCTGAAGATCGTCATCGCTTGCTTCTCCAACCTCTTCATTTGGTATGAAAGGTTGGTTATATTGTGTTGGTTCATTGTCGGATGTTTGGCTCATTCCATACTGGTCTGACTGTGTCTCTTGCGTCGGATTGTCTAGTAATCGGACATACAACTCAACTGTAGGTAACTGACCAAACATCATGTGGCACCGAAACATTACCTCCACGTCTTCGCCGTTCTTGATCGGCGTCATTACGTAAAAAATTATACAGTCATCTCCATTAAGTAAAGGATGACGATAAATTATCTCCTTAACACATCGTGCTAATTTTTTTTCCATTTTATCTTTGAAATGGAAAAAATCAGAATTAACATGAACTTTGAATGCGTAAGTATATGTGTTGCTGAATGAGAATCCAATGGTACCATTTGTTGAAACAACACCATTAAAGTGGCAGGTAACAATTATATTTCTTTGAGACATATTTAAAGTGTAAAATCGATGTTCTTGTTAATGAAATATGGAGTTATGATACAAACAAGATAGGATACACACAAATATATAACATACACATAAAATGTAGAGAACAAAAAGTCCCATTGAGCTCGTCCACTCAAAGGACAAGCATGTTCATGTGAAACACTTGCTCGCCCACTCAAAGGGCAAGCACATTCTTGTTCACGAGCCAACTCATCCACCCAAGTGGCGAGTGAATGATGGGTGCTGAAAAATGTCTTGCATGATTGTGTAAGACCTAGCTACTAGCTTTGCATGCATTCCATTGTGTAAGACCAAGTAACTATTTCCAAAGCCATGAAAAATTCATAGTATTGTCACTTCTACTAGTCACACATTTACATTACCAAACATTTATTCTTCATCTATAAAATCGATTCTACCTCAAACTTTTTTCTACACACATTTTTACTTCTAACACAAAGCATTATAGCATCAAAAAACTCTCAAGCATTTCTTGAAATTTCTTGATACTCAATCAAAATGGCCTTGTTGTGGATGGGCGATGAACACTGTGGAACACAATAAAACATTCAAGCTAGTGTAAATTTTCCTCTATTCGAGTGCATTCAAAAATAATGATTATAATTGCTTGGTTCAATATTGTTTCATATTAAAAATAATGATTATAATTGCTTGGTTCAATATTGTTTCAGTCTAATGCAAGGTTTTGAGTGCATTGTCATGCTCTCATTCAAGCAAGTGCGAGAATAATCCCGTATCTAGAAATAACAGGTTTTGCTCATATTGCAAAATTAAATAGTCTCAAAATTGAATGAAGCTTAGTTATAGCTCTTCTAGAGAAATGGAGACCAGAAACACAGATTTTTCACTTTCCAACAGGTGAATGCACGATAACGTTAGAAGATGCAAATATGTTACTTGCTCTCCGAGTTGATGGAAAAGCTATCAACGGTCCTACCGAAGTCACAAATGATGTTTACATGGAGAGCTTAGGGGCGGAACCTACAGAAGCGGATAAAAACAGAGGTTCTGTTAGGATTATGTGGCTAGAAAATTTATATGAAGTTTTAAAAGATAACTCTACCCCCACACAAGAACAAATTGTTTTACAAGCTAATGTTTATATTTTACTTGTAATCGCTACTATTTTGTTTCCCGACAAGAAACAAAATCTTTTACATTCTTCCTAGATTCCTTTCGTAGGGGATCTAGAAAAATGCAGTACTTATAGTTGGGGTTCTGCATGTCTTGCAAAATTGTACAGGGAAATGTGCAAGGCATCAGTCAAGGATGTTAGGAGCATGAGTGGTTGTGTTCTTCTACTCACTTCTTGGTAATTCACGCGTATACCATTGTTTGCTCCTTTTAGTACAGTGCAACCGTCATATCTATACGCACAAAGGTATTACTAGATTAAAACGCGCATTTGTGTGTATGTTATATATATATACATATACAATTCGGCCAGCTTCTGTAACGAATAATTGATCCTCATCGGTATAAAATGAGCTGATTGGATCAATCTATCGATAATCACCCAAATTGAATAATATCCCCTTCAAAGTCTTCGGTAGACCTGTCAC